TAGGACTAAATATTCATCATAATGTAGGCATAGCACCCTTTGTTGTCCCGTTTAATACAACCAGCAATCGAGCAAGCAAGATAGTTCATGCCCACTATAAGAGCCTTCAAGAGAAATTCCCCCATGTCTATAAGCAGAAAATGATAGTTGCATATTCAAAAAATAAGAACTTAAATGATAATATTGTTCATAGTAAACTAAAAACAATCAGTACATAACAGATACTGTACTTCTCGCCCATCGGGCGAGTTATTTTTTTCTAATTTCAGATCAGAATAAGAACAGAAGAAAACCCAATATCAAGACCCTTAATCCTAATTTCTAAATAAAGTGTCTGCTCCACCCTAGGCCTGTACATCTGGGAGAATGAAACCCTCCCTTTCCCGAAACCCAATATTGGCCATTTCATTAGAGATGCGTGAGAATCAGTGACCCCATTATTGGCCATTCCATAAGAGATATGTGAGAATCAGTGACCTCATTATTGGCCATTTCATAAGAGATATGTGAGAATCAGTGACCCCAATATTGGCCAATTCATTAGAGATACGTGAGAATCAGTGACCTCAATATATGGCGATTTCATAAGAAAGATATTTGCGGGTGTAAAATGAAACAAAATCCAACAATTTTTTTAATCTTATTAAAGATACATATAATAATTTCTTTGACCAACTTTAATGGACAATTACAATCTATCTATTATAAGGATATCAATTAGGAAAGGTAAAATTGAGACATATTAATAAAATATTGATTAAAATTCCAGTCTTATTGAAAATTAGACCAAATAGCCCTTCCATTTCTTTATTGTTAATATCGCCACTTCATTTAGGGTCTAACGACTGTCCTCTTGAACTCAAATTAACCTTTTGACCTAACCTGATAAACACTGAATCACAAAATACAAGCACTGGAGTAGGTAGAAATTTGATTGGTTAAAACAGACGTCATACAGTTAGGTCAAAAGGTTAATCTGAGAAACGTTCAAGACAGCTGTTAGGGCTTTCGTAAGACCCTAACTGAAGAGGATATAATGAAAATAAAAGATAATAAAAAATGGAATAAAAGTTTGGTCTAATCTTAATTAGACTGACTAAAATTTACGAATCAACCAAGATATTACTAATAAATTACTAAAGATTACTAAAAAAAAAAACTAAAAGATCCAGTGGAACTGTTTAAAGGGTTGGTGTTAAATCCAAATAACCAAACCAGAAAATATTTTTATTTAGTAGATAAATGCCGTTAGGGGTTGAGTGTTGACACTGGGCTTACTTCTGAAAACACTGACTGTGGCATCAGAATTTTCTTACAATGAATATGATTTGAATCCACAAAAAGTAGTGGCCTAGCAGTGGATAATTCAACTTTCTACTGACAATGCTTCCCCACTTCCCCATGATCACTTGTGGATTTTAGATTTTATACATCATATCAAAATTATTTAATTTGGAGGTTTAATGTTTCTTTATTGGTCCCATTTCATGATTTAGATTTCCAAATGTTGAGGTGAAAAGTTTGTACTCTGCATGCAATAGTCTTGGTTCATTGTGAAAATGAATGATTTATTGTAATAGCATTATCAAAATCATCAACCAGATGAAAGGTCAATTTCTGATAACCAACCATAACACTTTTCATAAAGAAGGACTGACTACTGGTTTGTCAGCAATCAAATAGTATACAGGATGTTTTACATTTTCAAGATATATCATAATATTGATAGAATCTGCTTTAAAGAATGCTCACGAACTAAATTTAGTTACAAGAAAATTGTCTTGTAAGCAAAGGTTTGGTGTAGAGGACATATACTAACTTGCTTTAAGCAAGACGAGCCATCTTAATGATAATTACTATTATTACTAAGTTATCTAAAGTAAGTTCTAAACTATACATCAACTACTTGAAGATATACAGTCAAAATTCACTGTGCTTTTCTCCTGCAATTTATATAAAAAAAAAACAAAGGTTTGCACCAATTTAGTCACTTTTTTAGTGCAGTTATTACCAATAATACTAATGGATAATAATGCACACAAAACATATTCTTTTAATACCCTAAAAGTGACAACAGTCTAAATTGACATAACACATTTGTATTGCAGGAGAATCAACATCAGATTTGAATTCTGAAAAGTGATATGGATAGCTGAAATTGAGCTCAAAAGTAAAGAATATATTATGTAGATGACTGTATCCGTTTCTAAAATATAATATTCTTAAACTTTGGAAAAATAACCCTTTCTTTAGATTCTATTCTGTAAAAAACCCTTGACTTCGGTGTCTGAAGGTACCGGTACCCTTTGTTTAAAATCTGCACAATACATAATTTAAGGTACCCTTTGATTAGCTTCTATACTAGCCTTTGACATAATCTTAAGACTCAAGTTCTCAAATCAAAGGTCTTTATAAAAACTACACATCACATACTAATAAAATATCTAGGCTGTTGCACTGGAAGTATTGCCATCATCTTCTTCAGATGGTAGCTCTTCATCTATTTTGGAAGCATCTGGAGACAGGATTTTCTTCTTTTTGTCAATGTAGCCTTCCAAATAACTTAAATTAGGTGGAAGACTCATACGACTCCAATGCTGTCTTGAGATACTGGAGGAGCTTGTATTGCCATCCTTAGGTTGCTCCTTGGAAAAATCTAGAGTCAAATATTCAACTTGATCATCGTCCAACATTGGTCCACCACTAGCAATGCTTTCTGAGTCGGAATTATCATCAGCAGAGTCAAATGACTCTGGAATTTTCAAAGAGTTCAAGCGATCAATTTGAGTATTAACATCAGGACTTAAAGCTCTCGGAGTCACATGAGGTCTTAAAAATTTTGCGCTTGAGTTTTCGGCGTCTTTGGAAGAAGTGTTGCTTGAATTTGGTCCTTGTGCATCATCCCCTGAATTCAGACTAGAACCAAGTTTTGTGGATCCTTGAGCAGAACTTGGGGATTTGGAATACTGTTGAGTGTTTTCTTTGATAGTATTTGATTGCTGCTGATAAGCTCCCAAAGGATCCATCCCTGGATCTACCCGTAAAATTAGCCCTTGAAGTTTAGTTTTGTGTCTGGGGGAGCCACTGAGAGGACTGGAAGTTTCTGGAGTTGAGCCAGCTGACTGTAAATGTCTATGGACCAAGTATGATGGACTTCCAGGGCTGCTGGACAAACTCATATTCCGATTACGACTTGCAATTTGAATAGGCTTAGATTTCAATTTCGTGTTTTCATTCCAAGGGAAAATTTCCTCTTCCGATGTTTCAAGGGGATGTGATTTAACAGGGCGAGGTGTGGATACAAAGGGAACATCTTTTTCTGCTCCTAATACTTTTCTGTTGGAAGGAAGAGATAAGTATTCTTCTTCCAGACAAGGAACATCAAAATCTTCATCGTAATCTGCCGAGCACAAACTATCCGTTCCAGGACTCATGACTTTTTGCTGACTATTTTCAATCGCACTTCGATAACTTTGACGCCGAGCATCCTCTGGATTTATAAATATCACAGATGGAGGTAAAAATGTTTTAATGGCAGAGTCTGAATAAACTTGTTGTGGAGAATTCCGCGATGCAGCCTCACTTTCAGTTACATTGTCACAACTAGTACTATGGGGTGTAACACTACCATCCATTTTAACCTTTCCTTTCGGTGGTGGAGAGGGCGATTCTGCACCTACCCCTGCCTCTCTGACACCCAATTGGATTTTCTTTTGTTTTTCAAGTCTTTGTTGATGAATATCATCACTGATAGCTTCGAGAGAATGTAATGCTTGAGAGTAAAGAGATTTTGATGATGTCACATCCTCTTCTAACCGACTCACTCGACCTTTCTGATCCTGGTAACAAAAAAAGAAAATATCACAAAAAAATATCCTGGACAGGTATTCTCAAAACGATCATAGCATTAGGATATCCTAAAAACAGTGATGATAGAAGAAGTTAAGACAATAGGATATCCTATCGCTAAGATGGTTTCGAGAAAACGTTGTCTGCTTAACAAATAAGACCTTCCTTTGCTTTCTCTAATCATTGGAACTACAACCATCTTTTAATGAATTCTTCACGATGTTGATGTTGGAATCAATTGCTGATATCATAAAACACTTCTTGCAAAAATTTTACAGGAGGTTTCTCAGTTACCGCATTGGCCGCGACCCTGCCATACACCGGTACCTTAGCTTAGCGAACCAGGGAGATAGAGATTGAGATAATACATACCTCCATTATTTGATTAAACTTGGATTTCATTTCAAAATAAGGCCTGCAACATAATAGATATACAGATTATATTGAAGGTATCATGACATACTGTATACAATAAGCATTTGAAATTGTTCAAAGGAGATTTTTTTCGATTTTTGATAATTTGTTCACATAATATTAAACCAAATAAAAATCTGAATTAAAATGCACTTAGATTCTAATCCACACACTTATATATAGAAATCTAATTAAAATTAACCATACTTTTGTTCCATTTTTTCTATTAGTTTTTATTTTTAACATAGCCACTTCAGTTTGGGCATACAGACAGCCCTCTTGAATGTTCAACAAGGTTAATTTAAGAGGGCTGTCATTAGAACCTTACTGAAGTGGCTACAATGGAAAATATAAGCTTATTAAAAACAGAAAGAAAGTTTGGTCTAATTTCAACTAGACTGTACCTCTCATATAAAATGTCAAAGGTCAAAGTGAATTTACTATTATTTCTGGAAGTATGTGAAAAACCATGTTCCTTTAGCAACGGTACGATGATAATGATCATATTCTCGTCATTAATTTTGATTGGTAGAGAGTTAACTTCTCTACCAATTATATTCCATCAAACAACATTTTGCAGAAAAATGTTTGAATAACCCGACGGAAAATTAGAAGTACCAAATTTTTTTTTAATCTCAAAGTTCACAGTTATGTCACATTGCAATTCATGTTTGAGTGTTTTAGTATACAATTAACCCCCCCCAAAAAATACGAAAGCCCACAATGAAATGATTTGCTACCTAAGAAGTCACCAAATGTACAACCTTTAAGTAGAAACAGCCCAGCAATAATGCTGATGATAATGAATTGATATTGATAATGACAATAATGCTAGAATAATGATAAAACATAGTAGATGATTCTATGAAAGGATGTTAATAATGTTTACCATGATAACAATGATTGGTAAAAATAATAAAATGATTATGTTATCATAATAATGCTAATAGTTAAAAGATCATGAACAACTTGAATAATGATAATGTCAATAAAGGGTTAATGATAATGATAATGTTTTCTATCTAATTGAATAATTTTATACGTTAAAATGCTTAAAAGCTCAAAATGTTAATAATGCTTATAATATTAAATAATATTTGTAAAATCAAAAATGCTTATATATCAAAAATGCTCCAAAACATTATAACAATGTGGTTAATAACCCATACTAATAATGACTAATTAATTCCATGATAATGCAGCCAATAAAAATATGATAATAATGAGGTTAATAATACATATAAATGTACTAATAATGACAAGTTAATGCCATGATAATGCAGCAATAAAATGATGATGATGATCATGAGGTCAATAATGCAATCAATATGAAGATGAGGTTAATAAAGCAGTCAATATGATGTTAATGAGGTTAATAGTACATATAAATGTACTAATATTGACAAGTTAATGCCATGATAATGCAGCAATAAAATGATGCTGATAATGAGGTTAATAATCCCAATAATAATATGATGATGATAATGAAGTACACATAAATATACGAATAATGACAAGTAAATGACATATGATAATGCAGTCAATAAGTTGATGATAATAATGATCATCAGACTAATAATGCAGTCAATATGATGATGATGTGGATCCAACGATAATGATGATAGTGATAATGATGATATCTATCCGCTATTCCCAACAATATTTACTTACATTACTTCAAGCCAATGTTGATTAGCGATATCACTAAGACGAAGGAAACTTCTACGACAAGACAGACTGATATGGACGAAAAAAGAAAAGAATGTTTCAATGTTTCTTGTGTTTTCATTTCAACAGTGTTCTAAGAATTGAACCAAACAGAATTTTTTAACCTAAAATAAGTAATGTCTCCTTTGAACAACTCCTAAAATGATAATTATCAAGCTTATACATATAAATATTTTTTATTGGCACTTAACAAAACATTTGTAATGAAAAGTAATAATCATGTATATTAAGCAACAGTCGTCTTAATATTTGCGTTACCAGCTCATGGATCTCGATTTTATATATCTGAATAGTGTTTCCAAATTAAGATCTGTCAACTTCATAGATAAATGACATAGAATATCATTACACTTCAAGCACTATGAAAAACAAGAGAAATCTCTTGCAAATCAAGACAAACTATCTATAAATCATTAACGTGCAGTGAGCTAATATACTTTTCTGTGACTGTTATCAATATAAATTAGTCTGTGTCAGTAGAACATGGCCACTCTCATGACTTACTTTGATTTATTAATAGCACGTTTTAAATCTTTCTGTAATTGTTGGACTTTAGCTTCACTTTCTTTAAATAACATCATTGTTCTCTGATGTTCAGATTCACTTTCCATTCTTTCTGATTCAGCCTCATTTACCTAGATATAAATAATATTCATTCATTTATAACATGTTATTTGTGTATTTCCATATAGCCCTGGTATAACCAGTTCCCTATTAAAGGGACAAAAGCTTTTGTATTTGATCCATTAAAACCACACAGTATTAACATCATCAAAATATGGTTTTTCTGGAATTTTTGGAAAGAAAATTTTATAAGTATAACAACTTATAGTTTCATAAAGATCCTGTCTATCAGCTTGTCCTTCACCATACCTCGCTGGACTCAATTATGGAATGATTCAATTGAATGATGAAATATAACCTATTTATAAAATCACAATTGTTCCAAGTCAATGACATCAAAACCTAAACCCCTAACCATTTGTGCTACAGCCTGTCACCATTCTAACCCATATTGAACGATATCAAAGAGAATTGCAATCCATACCTTCATTGTGGCATGATTTAACATCTCCTGCCAGGCTGGATCAGCATCTTGTTCTCTCCTCTGATAACCTTGCTCTGCTAATTGTACCATTTCTTTAGCAGCTTCATGCATACTACATGCTCTTTCAAACCTTAATGCTGCTTTATGAGTTTCCATGTGAACCTGATAAAAATTAAACAAAACTTTAAACAAAATCGTAATATATTTTTATGTTACAAAGAGCTCATCTTTTGATATTGACAAAAACCATCAAGAGCCCTGCAAGATATAAGGCAGTACCTTTGGACTTCTGTTTTCTCTCATCAGTGTAGCACATAAACATGAAAAAGAGTGAACTGTTCTCAGTCAAAATCTTTACCAATCGGTCACACTGTACCAATAAAACAATGCATTTTTTTTTCTGTTTCTCTAATGACTGGCAAAAAAGACTATCTAAATTATATATTAAATCAACCGTTTAGTTTAGGTGTTATTGAATCAAATCATTCTACCTCTTTAGCTTTAACCCTGGCATCATAATAGGGTCGGGCTTTATCTACACAAGATCCTAGTTTCTTAGCTAATACATTTAATTTTTGTATAGAATCTGATAATACTTGTCTGAAGCTGGCTCTGGCATCCTGAAAGGGTAAAAATATATAATCAATACTAAGTCATTTAGATCTGAAGGATTTCTCTCCCTCTAGTTGAAGGGGCTAATATGGAAAAATTTCTTGCCATCAAAATGAAAAATCAAGTGAGCCGTATTAAGAATTATTCTATTTTAAGGTATTGCTGGCACTAGAAATCTTGGAAATATTGTTTCGAAAGTCATGACAGCTGATAAAAAAGCCTGTATCCAATACTTACATCTAACTCTAGCTCTAATTTATTAATTTCATCTGAAGCTTTGTTCAATTTCTCTAATTCAACCTGAAAAAACAGAAATTGATTTAAAATAATCGAGCTCATCTATAGCTAACTAAATAATGGATAAATTTGTGTTCTTTTAGTTTTCTTTCCTGTTTATTCTGTAGAGCACCCCTCTACTTAGTAATCTGTGTCTCTTACATAAATGAATCTATCATTATTTCTATCATCTTCTGCTATCAACTAACCTGTATTCGGGGATCCAAAGCCTCATCTTCGTAATCTTCAGCATTTGTGCTGGAATTTGACGACAGTCTGCGTCGTCTGCTCTGAACCTGATGTAAAACATCTGCCATTTTATACAACAATAGGCAGTCTAACACTTGGACTCATCTGACATCCTAAGTTTAAGAAGTTAACAATCATGACTGCATGATGCCAAGGCAAATTAACCTATCAAAGATGCTGTTACTTTTTCTTTGAATTGAAGCACTTGCTTGTTGTAGGTAGTCATTTTCATTTTACTATCACATTTAGAACGTCAAACCAGCAGTAATTAAATTAAAGACATCATGTGTCATCCTAATCATCCCAAGAAAAACACTCTGAAATTCAATTCCTTAATTGTCGTGACTTTGTAATGTCAAAATTTATGTCAATTTCCATTATTTTTTTAATCATTACGGAAGTGTAGAAGATGGCGCTTCGCACCGGAAACAACCTCTCGCAGTAGTGCCAGATTACATATCTTAGGTAATCCAAACATCTGATACCTGTAGGTTTGCCTTTTTAACTACAGTCCGGTAGACAATAAATCAATTTCTAAGGTCACTGCTACAATTATCCTTATAACTCACAGGTAGAGAGTTGGACTGTGGTTCAAGTGAATATTGTTGTCTGCACTAAATAGGTGCTTCCCGATCGATTTCGAATCTGTTGGTTGGAGACCTTGCTTGGCCAATAGACATAACCCTGTGTCCTATTGATTATGCCTATTTCTACTGTGGTAACATGGATCATGAAAGAGTAGGTTTTGTTTTTATTGACTAGCTCTAATCTGGCAACACGGTATAACCTATCAAAACATTAGCGAAAAATTGTGTAAGTAGGCTAAAAATGATATGAACGGGAATACTGCGTTAATATTCAGTAGTTGAGGGTAAATATGTAATAAATAGCCTTGTGTCACTCCATAATATTGAAATCATCATGCTATTCAGTTGTCATGTGCAGTGATGCACCTGCAAAGCAACGCACATGCATATTTGCAGTGAATGAGTGATTAATATTATTGTTGTGACATAACAGTCAACACTGAACCTTGTCTCTCACAATCCTGTGTCTGTGGCTGTAGTGGCTCAACCAGCTCCTCAGTGAACTGAAGAATGTTATTGGCCCACCATTTGGTAGCCTATTTGGTACCATATTTTAGATTCATATCATTATCATACACACTTCCCTACATCCCTGGGATCAAATCCATTTACTACAGATAGGGAAACCTTAGAAATTTTGCACTTCATTGGCCACTTAAAAAAGAAAGATTGATTAAAGTTTATTTGATTTAAAAGCTAAACATCTAAAACATAAATAAAAATTTTCGATGAATCCTTATATGCATGAATATAGTTTACACCACTGTATTTCTGTATTTTGTGGTTTTAATTTTTTCAGTTGTAAACATTGATTGGTTGATGTATTGAAGAACAGTTGAATATAATGGCATAATACTAACTATTAATACAAAGTTTACATTTCATCATGGCAAAGGTTTTAAGGTAAGTGAAGACTCTCTGCCTCTCTGTGAATACATGTATAATGGGATAATCGACAGCAGACCAACTCTCGACAGCACTGAACAAGGCAAAGTCAAAGTCTAATTGCACTTAGCTTGCTCAGTAACTAAGCTGAAATACTCTTCATGAATCATTTGTCTGAATCAAATAATTTTTAGCACATACAGGTCTGGGGGTTTTGGGCTGAGCTAAGAAGTGTTTTTTATGTTAATAGTAACGGTTCCTAGAACATTTTTCGTGCACATGTCTTATAAGCTTAAGCAACATAAGCTTACATCTTAACATCTTTCAACTTATTCAAGAAGAGGTCCAAAGATAACCCTCTTGAAAACATTGAAAAACTGTTCGCAAACCCCTTAATTCTTTTTGAATTTTTTGCATTTTGTTGTGGCCTGGTTGGAACGCACTTTATATGTCTGAATTGAAAGGCTTTCTAGTTTTAAAAAATCATTGAATCATCATGAAACATTTGTCTTGATTAAGTCTGTCTGACACCAGGTCAAGGGTCACTGAGATTTGGTATAGCATGAAGTTAGTGACCTGTATCTAATTCTAATTAATCTAATAATATAAACATTGATGTAAACAACAACAGATAGGGTCATAGAATTTGATATTGTCCAATCTATAGAAGCCTATCTTATGACCATCTCTAGAAATGTGACCTTGAAACAGTAGATTAAATAGCAATACAGAGTTGGATTTGCATTGATATTATTATTAAAGGGACAGGTGTGCCATTTTTTGGGGTAAAATCGTACTTTCTCAGAAACAGGAATTTTTTAGCTAAGTCAATCAGTAATAGTGTAACAGCTCATTTACTATGTAAAAAGTCTTCTGAAGTACAAGAAATGTACGAAAATTGCACAATTCCTATAAAATATTTCAAACTTTACTCAATATTTCTATATTATATAAGCTTATTACAGAGTATCTTAAAATGACAAGTCATCATTTTAACATTCAAACGCGGATAATTCTGGACACACATGGATTTGATGGCTCCAATTTTGAACACTACTACAGATTGGCTTCTCTAAAAAAAATCCCGTTTCTGAGAATAAAGTATGATTGGTCAAAACAATGGCGCATCTTTCCCTTTAATATAAAGATTTTTGACTCAAACTAACTTATGTATTATATACATAAAGTTATGACATAAACTTAAAATAAACACAAACAATTTAAGACAAAAGAAGGGTGGTTATCTCATTTTGGTGTGGTGTAACAATGATAATATAAATATAGTCCCATCTTGTAAATTACACAAGAGGTCTGAAGAAGTTTATAAAATTTTTCACATCCAATGTCTCTATGTAGTGTATGGTACAAACAATCTAAAAACCACTTTTAAACTACAGTAAACAAATGTTGACAAGCTATAAACAGATGTTTATTGTCTTACCATATCAGAGGAAACATGAGCATGACAAAAACCACTTAAACCTAGTGTCTTGTATAGCAATTTTATGAGCTGTTTCTCAGGCTTATTTTGATTGAAGACAATTATTTTTGGTAATAAGACTTTATTTTGCCTTGTGTCTTTGTTATGGTTAGAATCATTTCTTATTTGGGAGAGTAGTTTTTATGAAGGTAACTGCTTTAGTTTGCTAGAAGACTTAACCAGGTATTTGTGTTGGTTTGATAAGTCTGTTCTGTGTTTGACATCACAAAATGCTGGTTCTAAACTTTCTGAATTTAAAAAAAATCTGGATATTCATGAAATTGCTTGCTACTTAGCGTAGGATGTTTCATTTTTTTTTTACTGACTTGTGGATGTCAGAGGCAAAAGATACTTCAATTTTGCTGTAACTGGGTAGACTACCGGTATCAGGAATATTTTTAATGAGCTCAAATTGTAATATTTTACATCAAGGGTTTGAAGAATTACCTTCCTTGACTTCCATGATATGTCAACCAGATCAGCAAAAGAAATTTGCTTCTGTATGGGAGATATACTTTGTGTATGATTGCTCATTTAGGTTCTGGAAAGTTGGAATACTTATCTTCCTAACTCAATGATAAGAATCCGTGCATAGACGATGTACTGTGGGGTGTACGATGCAGGATTATAAATACAGTAGTACAATTGAACACAAGACGCGATGGGGACAGGATTAGTTTCTACTATTTTCCACTGAATCGATAATCCCGCTCTGGACACCGTACATCTATTTGCACCTTTATTAGCTTTATACCATAATTAAACATGGCTGTTGTCTGACGTTCGCATTGCATGAAACTCTGAGTAACAACATGATTCAAGTTCTGTTTTAAAATTTCTAATTATATGTCTATGCTTCAAATCAATCAATGACTTTGAAAAATTTAAAAAAAAAATTAGATTTTCTGAAACGGCGGTACTCTTGGTTGTCTGTGTTTAAGCATCCTGTTAGGATATGATGTCAATTTGAACTTCCGTTCAACACTGTATTGTTATATGGAACACTTATCAAGGCAATACCAAACACTTATCTTGCCTGTCACTGATTAGATGATAGTTTAATTAAGTTGATATACCACTTGAGAAGTAATTAACAATGGTATTTAGTAAAGCTGAGAAACGTACAGAGTTTGTCAATAGTATGGATACAACATTTCTCATCTTGGAAGAGTGAGTACGCATTTTTCTTTTCTTGAAAGTTTTTTGATTGAAAATTTTTTGAACAATTTTAAGCTTGATAGTTGTTTTTTGTTATTGAAATTTTTTTTAAAGAGATTGTAAAGAGTTTTTATAAACTTTTTATGTGTATCAGGGACACTGATATCATCAATTTGCACCATTCCAAATTTCATTCCGACTTCTGTGGCTCCATTAAAAATAAGCGTTTTATTTTGTCAGTATTGTAAAAGCTGCTATTGATAAATAAGGAACTTTACGATTGTTAAAGTGGAGGTTCAAGTACCACAGACATCAGAATTGTAATGATGCAAATCAATGATATCAGTGTCCCTGTTACACATAATTGTGTTTTTTAGAAAACCTCTTTACAATCCCTTTAAGCATATATTGTTTTTCTACTGTACTACAAATGACATTAGATTGAAATTTTTGGAAATTTTCATGGCTTATGAATTTAATGATACTCTTAAATGAACATAATAATAAAAATCTTTTTGTAAGCTTAAATATATATATAGATCATATCTTTGATCAGCTCCACCTCAAATTTCTTTGGTTATCAATGCATTTGAGAACACAAATCCAAGGGGATGAAAATATCGCATTAGTTTTGTGTAGAAGGCAAGTGATTATATTTATTCATTGGCAAAGAGTAAACCTTATCCCCATTAGTAAAAAAATCTTATAAGAATTTATAAGTGTAATAATAATATAATAATAACTTTATTGATCACCAATTTGTTAACCAGATCTTCCTTTTTTTGAATTTTTTTTTGAGAAATGGGACGCTGGCCTCGTATTCTCGAAATGATCTTACTGCTAGGATGTCCTAGGTTCTTATCTTCTAACATTGATTCAAGGACATCCTAGTACTGTACTAAGATCATTTCGAGAATACGTGGCCAGATATCCACACCCTAAATAAACCGGAAGATTAATTTTGTTGTTGGAATAGTATTTCTCCATGTAAAATTGCCCACTTACTACAAATTCTCCTTGTCATAATTTTTTTTTGAGGAATTGAGCCCTGTTTTTTTTAAGATTAACAGCACTGTTAGAGAAATATGACACAGGATTCAGTCTATATCTGATATTATCGTATATGTTATTCATATTAACATGAACAGGATTTATATTAGGTTGGACATAAATAAATCTATCTTATTTCATTATGTCAATGTATCTTTTCTTACATAAATACGTCTTCTTGGTATCCTGTTATATATAAAAAAATGAGAAAATGTCATATTTTGTTTTTCTTAAAACAATGATAGCCCGACTTCTAAAATATGTTAGAATGGCTCCACTTTGCAAATAAAAAAAATGACTAATTTTATACTTCTCTTATACTTATTTGAGTTTATAGTTTATTTCTAAAAACTTGTTTTGATCAGCAACTAGTATTTGACATAATGACAAATTTGACCGTAACATTTGTTTTTGTAATGTCATTTACGGTATGTGATAAGAATCTGATGTGATCATGTGACATTATGGAAGGATATTGCAGTAATGATCTTTAAAGTAGATATATATACTTTGTTATTGTTAGTCATTAATATATCCATTTCTTACAGTTTAAAAATTTTAAACCATGCTATTTGGTGCATGAGAAAATAAAGTATAGCAATTGTAATTACAGAGTTAAGACAGCTTATCATTAGATTAATAATTAGATTAATTCATGAAGGATTATGAATAGATTTACCTTGGATTATTCAGTAAAGCTATTATTAGGATATAATGTGATTTTAAGCAGTATATTAAGGGGTGAAGCAAGGAGAGCTATTTAAGCCCTGTTTATTCAACTCCAGTGATAATATTATTATTATGAATATATTAGATTTTAGTATTATTTTATATGAGGTTTATGAATTGAAAGGGAATAATTTAAGTGCTGAATAGAGTTCAGGAAGTAATTTTGAATGAATTATGCACTGGTAGAATATCTTCTGAGCTAGGTGGTAGAATATATCTTGAACTAGTTGGTAGAATATCTCCTGAACTAGCTGGTAGAATATTTCTGAACATGATGGTAGAATATCTTCTGAGCTAGGTTGTAGAATATCTTCTGAACTAGGTTGTAGAATATCTTCTGAGCTAGGTGGTAGAATATTTCTGAACTAGGTGGTAGAATATTTCTGAACTAGGTGGTAGAATGTTTCTGAACTAGGTGGTAGAATATTTCTGAAACTAGGTGGTAGAATGTTTCTGAACTTGGTGGTAGAATATTTCTGAACTTGGTGGTAGAATGTTTCTGAACTAGGTGGTAGAATGTTTCTGATTTAGGTGGTAGAATATTTCTGAACTAGGTGGTAGAATATTTCTGAACTAGGTGGTAGAATGTTTCTGAACTAGGTGGTAGAATATTTCTGAAACTAGGTGGTAGAATGTTTCTGAGCTAGGTGGTAGAATATTTCTGAACTAGGTGGTAGAATGTTTCTGAACTAGCTGATAGTTTGCCATACCAGATGGAAGCAGCCTTGTTCTTGCCACGTGTTGCATCTTTCAAAATGGAAATTCAGCTTCATGTCTGCCTAAATTCACATTTTTTTATGGAATGAGAAGCATTGTCAAGTATCAATACAAGATCTTGCGATATGATACGCATATCGCAATACATTGACTCACCGATATATTTTGCTAGCACTATTTGTTATGTATTTAAAGTACATTAAACCAAGTCATACTGCTTTATCACAATCACATTACACGATTCATTATAATGTCTATTGAAATGTTTTGTTAAAGGTGAATGATATGAATTTTATGATATAAAATTGTCAATCATAATGTCATTTAGATATTTTTTCTGTGTGCAGTGTATAAAATTATGTCCAAACAAATTTGAATATATGTGCATTGTTACACCAAACGCTATGTTATTGGTAGTATCAGATCATAATGATAGGTGTTGAAATGTATAGTCATAGTCTTGCCATGAAGAAGTCTAAACCCACAGAAGATGAAGAGGGTAAACAAAAAGGGTAACTATTTCATTTTTGTATGATTATTTGTATAAATATGTTCTTGCTTAGGCAGGTTGTGTGTTCATATTTGTCTTTTGTTTACTGTTACTATATATTGAATCTTGGTGAGTTTATGTGTATATTTAGGAAATTTGTGGATGTTATTGTCTAAAAACTGAAATTGGAATGAAAAAATCCATTTATTACCTCAAGAAAATGTCAGTTGTTGTTTAACTTGATTATGCTGATAATTCTGGAAATACATGAATAAGAAGGTTCAATTTTGTTTGTAAACTGTGAACAATAGTACTGAGTACAAACCTGTAAGGCAGGTTAATTCTGCTTTGTTTTTTTGTGTTTTTAAACTGTGAGCAATTTTATTGATCAGCTGAATCCTGTTTCTGAGACTAAGGTACGACCGAATGGATAGCATGCCCTTTTATAGGCTCCTTGATGTCGTCTTATATAAGCTGACTATCTGCATTTATGAATGAAAAGAAAAATTTTTGTTATTAATTTTCTGGACTAAAGGGCTAGTTATGAAGGCAATGCCATGTAGTGTGCAATGATGGTAATATTAGTCGGGAGTAGCAATAGCCTTTTCTTATTTGATTGCCTACTTATTTGATTGGATCTATATGGCAAAGCAGAAGCTTATAAGGCATTGAAATAAATGTCTATTTCCATAAGATATTAATTGTTTTAAATTGTCTATTGTCCTTGGTACATGACACTGGGTATCATCTTGAAGATTATACAAGTGAAATGTCATCTTTCAAGTCTTTACTATCCTTTAACAGTTTCCAAATGTCATCTTTTAACTATATAGTCTTTAAAAATATCTTAAAATATCAAAGTGTCTTTTTGATAATTTGTGATATTTTGATGAAGATCTTGGAGAAGGTGGTGTTTAGATGACTTGAAAATTGATATGGATTACTTGCTTTGGTACTTTGGCACCTGTTTGTTTTGCAATTTCTATATAAACATAGTGTCTTTATGATAATTTGTAGTAATATTTTAAATCTTGTAACTCAGTGAAGATCTTGATGTTAGTAAGTTTACATGACTCTAGAATTATTGTGGATATTATGCTTTGGGGAACATTTTCTTTTGGTGTAATTTCTGTCAGGAATTTTAGATGGTGGAATTTAGGTTAATTGATTTAGGTAAAATGTTTTTTCTGTTTTTTTTTCGAGGATTTTTGTCAGTGATTAGATGAACAGATAGTTTCATTTCAGAAACATTTACATCCAGGGTTTTCAACCTTTTTTTGTATTAGGCTACCCCTTTCAGTATCCTTGATTGATTGCATTACCCCCTTCATCTATAAATCCTTACCATTTCATGGTTTTCTCTCAGGTTTTCCCTGCAATCTAAAGAATATAGCCTGAATGACTTAAATTTTGTATGTCCAAAATATTTATGCTAGACTACACAGTGCCTTTTTACCTTTCATATTTTTGGTTTGTTTGGGATTTTTGGATGAACTTAAGTTGACTTTTGATACATATGTATGATGTAGATAATTTAGTTTTAATATCTCTTAAGGTGATATGTTTTAGTTTGTGTATTTCTGACAGGTTTTAGATGAATTGACATTGATGTAGATCAAAGTGATGACAATTGAAATTTAACATCTGCAAAATGTCAAGGTATTATGAAATCTGTCTTATACCTTGACATCATTACGCACTTTTCCTGTATATTTTTATGGAATATAAAAAAAATCCATTTTCCTTGGTTATTTAAAACAGAAACTTGCAAGATTAGTTACATACACAGCGATATTATTTAGTCTTTCTGTCAAGGGCTCTAATTGGTTGTATTAGGTAGCATACGATCCAATCAAATCACAGACTTCCTTGTCACAAGAAGTCAAGGTATAAGAAGCAGTAACTTACATTGTGAAGATGACCTTTCACATTTCCACATGCATCTATTACCAAAAGTAATTACTTAAGAATGTCAAAACATTTTCTCAATTAATTTTCTTGGAACTTTTTTAGCTTAAACATTACGAATAACTTTTCAGAACACAATGTTTAAAAAATACTATAATATATACTAATAGAAAAGGTAGAGAGATTTTGACAGTTTTTGACAGGGCATGTCATGCCTTACACTTATTATACTGATGATGACCTATAAAAGATATTATTATAATTTATAGCTTGTCATATCAACTCAATGTACCTTGATGTTAACATTAATAAAGGTTAGTGTATTTTATTAAAACGTTTTACCATGGATTAACAAATTCTTTTCTAATTTTTTTTTTTTAGGGATTTGATATTTTTGTCGATGTTATTCTTTGACCACACTGTTTTTGAAATTGCAATTTGCAAAGCATTTATATATATGAATTGAATGAATGAGTTGAATTGGCAAATTTCAATTGTTTTTGAATTGATGAAAACTGCAAACAATGAAAAAATAATTTGTTGTGGAATATGATTTTACCGAGGAAAAGTTTCTGGTTGATATTCGGGTCATTTTTAAACGTAATTTTGGGAGTAATGTATTTCTTTTTTGTTAAATAATCAATAATTATATTTCTATTAACCGAAAGCATTTTAAGTCAGATGAGATATAATTAAAAACTTGAATTTGAATTTTTTTCTGAAATGATTAAAAGTATTCAAATATAGAAATGTAGTGAGCGATTAGTCACATTTTGTGAATTCTTGTTTCCTGAAGCACTCATACAATGTGGACTTCATTCATTTATTTGTATTTACAAGGAAGTGACTCAACCAGATCACAAGGACAATATCTATTGATGTCTATTAATGTAAAGTGTTATTCACTAGGGCATAATAAATGAACTATCAATAGCACAATAACTTTAACACAGAAATTACAAAGATATCAACACATAAAAGCCTATCTGATTGAAATGCGGGCCTTTTCTCTCAGTAAAAAGAATTTTTCCCATCATTTTTATGAGGTTTGGATTAGCAGCTTTAAAATAGTATTGTTAATCCTAGAATGTTTTTGAGTTGATGAAAATATAAGCTTGAGCACTCATGTCTTCAAAATTTGTTATAACAGACGACAATTTTCAGACAAAATTTGTGACATTTTTGGGTTGAAATTTCTTGGAGAGAAATGTGTTTCTATTAAATGTAAACCTTCAAAAGATTATAATTTTATCAACGCAAAGACATTCTAAGAATATCCCAATTCTCTTCAAAAATATCGAGAAAATTTTAAAAACATTTTGATTTGCTCAGACAATAGACAATTTTATTTGTTTTTGTGTTATTTCTGCTGCTAGAAACACTCACCAACCATGATCTGACAAAATTATTCTTTAAATCATGTTCAATATTTTTACCTAGTATTATCAAAAGTTGTCATAAATTATGCTATGCAAATAGGCTGACAATGAAAGTTAGACAGGACCATGTCTGTGTACATTGTACCTACTTCTGACCTATGTGAATTGAAAATGGATATCCCAATATTGATATGTATGTAGAGTAAGTGAATCGTGGTAGAAGTAAAATTAATGATGTGTGAAACAATTACTGAATCATGATTTACTACTTAAACACACCCTGCATAATTCTGATACACTTTGCCATGCATATCAGAAGTTGTTGACATGACATGCACTGCATAATACTGGTTTGCTTCACTCTTATCAAGACATCCCACTCAAAGAACTTGAAGGACATTAAGAAGCTGATCGAGAGCACATATAACAGAAAACACAAGGGAATATATTATGGTATAACACACTTTTTAAATAACAAAGTACATAACGTTTCAACACAATTTATTGTCTCCATTTACCTTTCGGAGTTCTCACTGATTTGACCAGAGTTGACTGTAGTTTAGAGGAACAAGTTGGTAATTTTTTGACCTATAAACCATAGAAATTTTTTAGCTAAGCTAATCAGTAATAGTGTTCGCAACTCTCAGGCAAAATTTAAGCCTTCAAATCTATGAATGCCCAGAATTATCTGCATTTGAAAGTTAAAATGCTCGTCTTATCTCTGCCATATATAGAACTGTAGAAATTTCTAATTTGAGGTGTATTTGAAGGGAATATGCAATTTTCATGCAGTTCTAATACTTCTGAAGACTGAAGACCTGTCTTTTCTTGAGACTCTGCCATATATAGAAAATACATATAGATATAGAAAGTGAAATTCCTAGTTTGAAGTATTTTTGACCAATTATGTGATTTTTGATTACATTATTAGTACTTCTGAAGATCACTTACATAATATTCACAGGACCCAAATCAACCGTTTGAAAATAACAAATCTGTGCTATAAATACAACTTCCCACTTCTACATGTTACTGGCTTTTGAAAGGCTCTCTGATAGATCAGATATATTTTTACAGTCATTGGATCAGAAACCATAGATTTAATATTTAATACAAGTTTTTACAGATTAAGGATTTCATTCACAGAAAACTTGTCTGAAAATGTTTCAGCTAATTAAGCAATAATTTACTTAAAAAATTAACATAGTTTGACGTATGCACAGTTGCTCGAGAGTCAAAATTAATGGTTATCTGTGATATTTTTAATCAAAACATTTCCTTTTAAACAGTAAATACATGATCATCAGTGAAACATGCATGTAACTGTGATACACAAACAAGGAAATGGTGAACATTTTTATTACAGCAATGTACATGTAGATTGAAAAATGAATTTGAAATATATGCAAAAGGGACTCTTAAATAGGTTTTCTAGATTTTTTATGTGAATTTGGGATACTTTAAGTTTTTGAGTGCAATATTCTGAATTCATGTCTGATGTCTGGAGTTTCTGTAATTTGACCAGATAAACTGTCCTTATTTCCAAACAAACAAAAAACTTTGCTTGTACAGTATTTGTGATAGCGATCCCATCAGTCACATTTTTCTGGTAGTACCGTAGTACAAATTATCTGCCTCTATTCCAGTCTCTAATGGATATTTTGACAGTTATCGGATGGAGTCAGAAGAAAAAGGCCCTGTTAAATGGGGATTTTCCACACTTCCGGAGATGCGTTTCTTACATAATATTAAATTAACATTTCGATCACTCTAAATAAGTGTTGGGAATTAGCTTAACTTTCATTTTGTTAGTATCCCGTGACTGTGACCTTTGACCTTTTGGCAGTTTAAATTAGCCAATGCGAGATCAGTTTTGTTTAAAAAAAAATTTTGATGGAACCGGAGACATGACATAAATGGTGTAGGGAGAAAATGATGGTATGACTGAACTACAACAATATTCATCTTTCCAAATATATCTTGGTTTTGCAGATCAGAGGTATCTAAATAGGTTTAAAAACCCTGCACCTGCGGAGATGCAAAATATCCCTATTTAACAGGGCTTATTTTTTCTGTCTATACTCTAACCGACATCTGTCCAAATAGCTAACAGAGGCTGAAACAGAATGGGAATAGAGACAGATGTTTCGGTCTAGTAGTACAAGAACCACTCAAAATGGTGGTCATAGATATCAAAAGTGTACCCAATATGTACATGTATACAAAGGCAAGGAAACCTCTTTTCTATTCCTTTAACATTTGAAAAGTCTTAGTATAAAATGTCAGTTATCAGTGGTATAGTAGACATCAAAAACATTTGATAAATGTGAGAAAAGGAAAGGTTAAGAGTAAGATAGTTAAAAGTTCAGACTAAAGTGACATTAAAAATACCCCATCTCATTATTTGTCAACATTTAAAAACTTAATAGTATACCACATAGTTTTCCTTTAAATGGTTTCAGTCAAGAATTTTGATTATACTCCAAGGTGGAGATATCTCGGACATGCATGATGTATAACAGCTAAAAGACTATTAATTTCATAAATATGGTTGTATTGTAAATTATGTTGACATGTGTTGTAATTCAGGGGTTAACTGGGTAAGATTTCAATATTTTGATGTTTTTTTCGAAACCAAAATTTCTTCACCAGTAGGGCAGCCAACTAGTGGGTATTTATCACCAGGTTAGGTTGAAAACCCCTGTCATAGACCTTCCAAAATATGATTCTTCAATTGATGTTGAATAGCTCAACATGAAATATGTCTGTCCTTTGAACTTCAAAGCATGTAAGATTTGCCTAGAACAAAAAGTTAAGTGCCACCAGATTTTGAACCATTGTTTTGCAAATGAATGCAATTCACAATCATACTTGATAACAGAGATGTATATATTGGGACCTAATGTTGAAAGCCCCAAATGCAAAGTATCTGTTTTCATCAATCTTTGAATGTCCTGTTGAGGAATATACTGCCACTTACTGATGCAATGCTGCATCCAACTGTTACAGTTTGCACAGGAGGGTCTCTACGACGTATGCAACGTCCCAGAATATACTGAATTAAAGTTAGTGGTGCTTAACTTTTTGTTCTACGTATATGTTATATATTGTCAATTAAATCCTGATTAATGGACAAAATGAAAAATGGAAAATTTTTTATTATATTATGATGAAAATATTGAAAAGTTCTTTGACTATTACAAATATCAACTGCATGATTCTTAAACGATCTTAAACATTGATTCTCTTAAGAAAATATCAGACGGGAAAAACCATCAATTTTGATAAGTGGTAATAAACTTATAAAAGAACACGATTAAGTATCTTGCTGGGAGCATGTCTGTTCCTGAAGCCTTTTCATTCCTACATTGTATAATGAAGTTGAAGATCAGTTACAGTCTGTAGAATTCTATCGAGATATTGAAACCAAATTATTGACTTATTTTGAGATTTCTCCGGCAAGATTATGACTGCTATGATTAATTTGCTAGAGAGAGAGTGTGAGGAATTTTCTAATCGTGTTTTTATTGAAGATGAGGTTTAGTTACAGTGTTAATATTGGAAATAAAAAGACGAAATGGGATAGATGTTTTATAAAGGCTTTCTATGCGAGTCAGGGAAACTATGAAATTTTTGTAAGATCTTGGTTATCAAACCTAGAATCTTATGGTACTATGCATTAGTGCATTTGATAACAACTCTGCATCTGTAGCTCGAATTTTAAAAAAAATTTTTTGCACTGATGATGTTATGCATGGTTTCTGTTTTGGAACTGAGCTATTTTTCAACCCAGTCTCTCTTTGTCAGTGACACAGGTTTCAAGGGGCTGACATGAACAGCATTAAATAAAATCTCATGGCAGTTGGAAATTGGAAAAGGGTATGCGTAAGTTCCCATATGTTACTGTCTTTCTTCACCAGCTATATCAGGAGCAGAGACGATCTAAAACTCTATTTCAACACATGACAATATTATGGAATAGGCACACTTCTTTGATAAAATATTAAATACCTAACGTTTCAAGACAAATTGCATGTGTCGTCATCAGATGAAAGTATGGTTGGTTGTTAGAGATGACAAGTTAACGTTCGCTTTCAGCGGATGCTGATATCGCAAACTAGGTAGTTGTTGGTAGTCGTAGTAGTTGGTAGTTGGATTGGTTCAAATTAAATGATGCTGTGTTGTTGGTGTGGTTGTTGATACTTCGTTAGATCTGATCGGGTCGAATGACATGGCGGTGAAACTCGGCCCTGGGTGGTGTGGTGTGAGTTACTCGATCTCCTTCATTCTTCCAAATTCGTTCTGATCATGGTATTTCTTGTTGATTGATAGTTGATTGGTTGTCGTTTGTTTGGATTGGTTAGATTATCTGATAACTGTTGAAAGAATAAAACACAACAGAATATATAACAACTAAGAATAATAGAGATTAACAGGGTTAAATATAATTGAGATTAGCAGAGTTAATTCCTATGATTGTTAGTTGTTATATATTCTGTTGAAGAAGTGAGTTTATTCCATAATATTGCGTTATATATGTGATATTTCATTTTGAGATAAGACTATAAAAAGGTTCACCAATGCTTGATTTTGAAAAAATGGAAAATTTTCAGGTTTCTTTTTGGATCCTTGGTACTTGGTTTATTTATACATACAGTTCTTTATTTGAAATTCAGCTTATATGTATTTATAATTTTTATGTAGCCCAGCCTTTGCAGTAACAGACAAAGCATAGTAATTAGTAATTAGCTAGAGGCTTGTTAATTACAACTTTTCATAACATGTTATTCATAAGTAATGTCATCTTAGATTATTGACAGTGATAGATTGTTATTTTAATGGTCTGTAGTAGGTGTGATGATTTGTTTACAATTTTTAAATCACCTTCAACATAAGGGTTCATCTTATTATACTGTTGGTGCATGTTTAATATGTTCCATATTAAGGAAGTTTTTTTTTACAAAAAGTAGATATCTACTGTTGGGACTTGCTGAGAAGGAGTGAGTAATGTTTACTTTTAGTGCAAACATGTACTTGTGAAGAATCTATTGATCTACCTAAAGGGTATGTTTGTCTCAAAAAGGGGATTTTTTTAGCTAAACTAATCAGTAAAAATGTTGACAATACACCATTGAAATTTGAGTCTTTAAATCCATGTGTGTCCAGAATTATCCGCGTTAGAAAGTTAAAAAGTTAAATAGACGACTCGTCTTTTCTTGATACTCTGCCATATATAGAAATAGAAAGAGAAAATGAGATTTTTTTGAAGGAATTTTTTATGATTTTCATACATTTCTACCACTTCTGAAGACAATTTACATATATTAAAGACTCAAATCAACCCCCCGAAAGTGGTGAATCTGCCCCTTTAAGGGTATAGTCGACTTAGTCAAACGTTGAAAAGTTGTTGATTTGTCAATTGACGGTATTTCAAATGTTAAAAAAGAAAAAATTACCAGATACAATTCACAAGTCATTAGAGGAGTAGTGAAATTTCATTTGAGCTTAAATTATAATTTTCTGTTGGAAGAACCATTAAAGGGGGAGTGTGTATCAGCTTTATATAAACAGGAAGCAATTTTTTAAGC